TATTGAAATAAATAGGATGGCGGAAAAAGAGAAACCAAAGAAACAGTATGTGGGCAGCTGTTTTATGATACATTCATATACACGTTCTAGGAGTATACGCTATCTGGTTGATGTTTACTTTTGCCAAATGGATGATTATATTCTATAGTAAGATTCATAAATTTTCCTTATAATTACATAACACATTTCAAAAATTTTTCAATTAATTATTAATTTTATTATTTATTTATTTCATATATTTAATATAAATGAATTAATTATTTTTTATACCAAATTATTTTTTTGTTTGGCAATAGCTATGAATATAATAGGATCTAGAATAATTTTTGAAGCGTTATTTTGAAGCGTTCATGATTTTTTTTCAGAAAGTTAAACTTAAACATTAAGAACTAATATATCATAGCATATCTTACTAGTTTTTAACTGATTCTCATTTAAACATCAAAGTTATAAATAAACATCAATGAAATAATATAATTATTAGATAGAATAGAATTTCTAAAGAAATACTGAGCTTGTTATAAAATAATATATGTATTAAAAATATAAATATATGTATTAAAAATTAATGATATAAATATTATAGAATCTAAAACTTATAATAATAATTAAAGATACATTATAGAATTATAGAAATCAATAAATAGTTGATTGATTAATTGATGAATATAATTACGCTTTGATGAATATTTCAATCGTAAAAATGCTCAGTTATGTTATATTTATATCACTACATTTAATTTTTTTTCATTGCAAATAGAATAATAAAAGATTTTATTATTCTATGAAATTCCAGTATATTTTTTCTTCTGCTTAATCTTTTTGGCTAACTTATAATAATTAAGAATAAGAATATTTATTATAAAAATATATTGTAGAATCGAATAGTAAATATAGCTACTAATTATAACTATTTAATTAATATTTTAGTCATGAAAATGATCTATAATATTATTACCTATTCATATAATACTCTAATATTGCATATGTTGCATATGAGCTAATAAGAATACCTTAATATTCTATTGTTGTATTCCAAATTTATTCTATTTCTTCTATTTAATTTTATTAATCAATTGATTTTTCAGCAATTTTCCTAATCGCTATTAATTGTCTTGGAATGACAGCAGGTGCTCATAGATTGTGGACCCATAAAACATACGAAGCTATAAGATTTATTAAATTATTCCTTATGCTTGCTCATCATCTTGTAGGAGTAGTAAGTATTTTAAGATTATTGCATCAATGAAACGTTTAGGAGAAATCATCAAATGAATTAAATGCGTTTCTTTTTTATCTAAATATTTACGCAATACATAAAATTAATTTAGATATTTGTTATATAATGCAAATTTTTAATAAAAATTTTCCAAACATATTATTTAATTTTTTTTTCTATTATCTTTTTTTAAGTAAATAATTAATAATAATAAATATATATATATATATATTTATTTATTACATATATGTATATATTGTTTATAGGGTTCGATATACGACTGAATATTATATCAGAATTCATCATAAATATTATGGGACTGATAAAGATCTTTACAATCATAAAAAAGGAATTCTCTACAGCCATTTCATAAGTAATGTATTGTCGCCCAATGTAAGTCTTGAGGAAACGAAACGTAACATTGATTTACGCGATATTGACAATAATGTTTATATTTACTTTCAAAAGATGTAAGTTTCTTTTAAACATGTATTTGATATTCATTACACGAAAATGAAAATTATGAAATATTAGATTTTCTTTAGTTGAAACGTATTAAAATAGTAAATTTGAATTAATGATATATATAATACTGGAAATGATACAATGATCATTGTACGAGCCTTGTACTTATTATACTTATTAACATAAGTCTGTAAATAATATCTGTATTTCACCTTTTTCTAATTAGAAAAAGAAGAAAAAAACAGAATTTCATGATTTAAATTAATTGAAAAAATATTGACAAATTGAAATATTGTATTAAAACAACATTATTCTCTAATTCTTCTTATTTTTTATATTTTTCGATATGATAATCTTTATTCTATATATTTTTATTGTTTTATTATTATAATGATTATAATAATCTTCGTTATTTTATATTCGCAGCTTCTACTGGCCATTATTTTTAATATTTGGACTTATTTTATTTTGTTTCTGAACGCGCCATTGGAATATTGGGACGAATCAATGATTGAGACTATATTAATAAAAGGATTCCTACGATTTGCTATTACGATAAATATATCTTGGTTGGTGAATAATGCATACTTGGTCTGAAACATTAAGAAAGAAGAAAAGTTAATACACATTTCAAAGACGATTAGTAATAATTTCTTCTCTCTACAAACTGTTTCTTAAAATACGAAGAAGCCACGTCACTTTTATTGACAACGATGTCATGCATTTTAAATAAAATA